TATTTTTTGATGTCTTTTGTAAAACCGGGCCAGAAAAATGTAGATAATACTCTTGCTATAGTTTTGTATATTCCTAAATGCCCTGCAAAAATGGAATCGTGTGCTAACGCTAAAGCTTGATTTCTATAGTTAAATGGTAGCACAGTTTGTCTAACCACTCTTGACCCTTTGGTATACAATCTTGTCAAAACATTTCTATGTAACACAAATTCCCACTTTGCATTTTTACTACTCTTTGGTGTTGCATTCAGCAACTGGAAGCATTTCGTGAGCGATTTGTCACTTTTTTGCTCTTCCTGAAATTTCATGCTGTTATTCAAATCTTCCACTGCGATTTGTTTCATTTGATTTTGACTTTCTTCTTTTTGTAAATTATCTTTAATTTTTTCTGTCATGCTTCTGGTTACTGCTGCAGCCACCTGAGTTTCTTCTTCTACATTAGATTGCTTACTAGATCTGTTGTTAGTGTCTATGTTTTCATTCTTACTTTCACTTCCCTTGCTTTCTCTGACACATTCTTCTTTGGGGTATGGAGTGTTACCTTTTGTATCTCCGCTCTCACTTGGGTTGACGCTCTCACTGGGATTTGGAGGGTTGTCTTTCGTAACCTTACTCTCACTCACATTACAGCATTCTTTGGGATATGGGGAGTTGTCTTCCGTACTTTCATTCTGACAATACTTTGGAATATTTTTTTGTTCCCAAGCTACAATGTCTCTGTCGGTTACTGTTCTTAAATCTTCCCTGTTTCCCAAAATCAAATCAGCACAAGGGGATGGTAATACTGCAACAGTTATGAACTTTTCTAAGTATGGTGTTTTAACAAACACGTTAGCAAGTCGATATCTTTCGATGCTACCACCAAAGGTACGACAATTGATGTATTTGTCTGTTAAATCTTCTGGTCTAATCAGTCTTTGATGTACTCCGGAAATAGATGCACCAGTGTCCCTAAGGAGTGATATGGTTTGTCCATGGATCTGACCTTTTTGAAATTTCAGAGTACCATGGCCGTGTGTTGCCAGATTAGCGTTCTGAATGGGTATCAGGTGTCCACACGGTAGGTTGCCTTCCTTATGGAATTTAGAACATATTTTACATTCTTCTTCTGTTTCGTACATGGTAGCTGAATTGGCTTCAGCTGAATCGCTTTCCGACTCATCATCTGATGTTACACATACCACATGTGCCTCCTTGAATCGTTTTATAGCAGGACAGTTACGTCTGGTGTGCAAATAACATCCACAAATATAACATTTTACTGCATTTTCATACCTCTTTAACTTGTTTTTTCTGTGAGCAATCACCTGTTCGATTCTTTCATTAAATAGTGGGCTTTTATCACAAGGTGCGTCGTCACCATGTCTATCGTGACAGTGGTTGCAATTGATGGTCTTTACCTCTTTCTTGCCATATCTAAAGTTTTTGTTCTGAAATTTCTGTTGGTATGGTTTTGCATAGGCTGCTGCTCCCACTTCTATCAAATCAGAACTTGATAGCACGAAGATATCAGGGTGTGCTGCAAAATAATTTTCACCTACTTCTTCTAAAGAATCTAAATTTGTTGGCTTATTTTCCTTTAGGAAAGTTGCCATTGGCTGTGGAAGAGATTCTAACATTTTACATCTTAACAACAAATCAAGCAATAACTTATAGTCATTTTTTACATTGGCTGCTTCAACCTATTTTTGGAATATGTTCTGCACTTCTGACAGATAGTCTGCAAATGTTTGACTACTTTTTGGTCTCAAATCGTTGAACTGTTTTCGGTAGCCAGCTTCGTGCAGGTTGTAATGCTTCATTAACCTTTCTTTGATATAGTTGTAATCTAGTCTTTTGGTTTCTGGAATTGTTTCCAGAATCTTCAAAGGTTCAAATGCTAGGTGTTTTTGAAAGATTAAAGCGTAGTCTTGCAATGGGACGTTATGCATGTGCATACCTAGTTCGAAATTGGCTATATACGCTCCGATGTCGTCTTCCTTGCAGTAATTTCGGACTATTCCTGCATATTTTTTGAATTTGTTTTCTTCTGCTTTGATTCTCTCTTTTTCTATGGCTGCTTCTCTTTTTGACTCATTTTCCATTTACTTTGTTCTGATCTGAGTTTCTGCTTTTTCTTTGTCTGTTTGTATTTGTGCCTCTAACCTCTGTTTTTCCAGCTGTAATTTTTTCTCCTCAATCTCTTTTTGTTGTAGTAGTTCCATCTGTTTCAATTCAGCCTCTTTTACTGCTTCTTTCTCTTTGAGACGTAGTTCCATCTGTTTCAATTCCGCATCTCTCTCTTTAACTTTTAGTTCGTGTTCCCGAACAAGTCTGCGTTCTTCTCGTTCTTCTGCTGCTTTTTCTTTTTGTTTTTCATCCACATATTTCTTTAACTCGTCGCCCTGAAGGCCCAATTCTTTACCAATGGCTACCCATTCCGCCATTTTTGACTTGTAGATGTATACGATATTCCTGTACAAATATAACAATTACAAATGCGTTCACAAATATTACGCTTAATAGCAATACAATCACAACCAACAAAATCAATATGTGATATATAATCACTATGTTTAGCTGAGTAGTTTTCTACCTACTCAGAACAATAATATTAACTATGAACTTAATTACTAAACTTTTTAAAAAAAAATTACCATGGCTCTTATCGAGCTAAGCACAGTCTATTCTACGGATCCTTCTTTTCGCTATAGCACACTTCTCGGCTGTAACGGAAATATATTGAACGAGTCTCTTGTAGATCGTGTCGTGCAATTGAATCTTCCGGTTGGTAATGTCACTTCATTAATTGGCCACTACCCGTCTGAATTCATATTGTGGTTCATCATGGAAGTAGTGTACTTTTTTGAAAAATAGCGGCACTTGTCTATAAGTTGAACATGGATGTCAATCTGAATAATTCATGGAAACTGACTGTCTGTTCTAAAGACTTGAAGGAACTCACAGAAAACTGTTCTGCACGTGTACTTGTTCTACCTGTGCTACGGCTGTTCGTTTAGCGGTGTTCCGCTAGCTGCATGTTAGATCGGATATGTGGATATAAGTCAGCTGTCCGCTTGACCAATGTCACTCAGCTAGATGCCTTGTCTTAACACACTTACGTTATGTTAGCATGTTTAGTGATCACTGTACTTGGTGGCTGTTGCCCTTTGCAACTACTGTTTCAAACACTGGATTGATTGATGACTACCTTGATGTTGTAATACACAGTATAGTTGTTACGATCACACTGTAACAATACGCAGTATAATTGTTACGATCACACTGTAACAATGTGTAGTATAGCTGTTACGATCACACTGTAATAATACGCGGCATAGTTGTTATGATGCCACTGTAACGATACGTGATATAGTTGTTATGATGATACTGTAACGATAACTAATTTCGACACGTTACCCAGTGGCGAATTTGGCCATCCTTACACAGAAAAACTGTACTTGAAATTTCTACACATTTTATTGAGGTAAATTTCGACACAGCAACTGGTGTTACCACGGATGATGGCTGTATAGCGGCCTTGACCCAGTCCCCCACTTACGTCAACTCTGCAGCCCCGCTTTGAGCTTTGAAGTTTAACTGGTCCAACTGGCCGGGTTTTTGGTCACTACACTGACCCTGTTTGTCGTTGCTTGTTCTGAACAAATAAATTTTGACTAACAACTGCTGTTACCTCAGACGATCACTGGAAATCGACCTTGACACAGAACGCCACTTACATTGACTGTTCAGCTCCGTTATTAGCTGTCGAGTTCAATTGGTCCAATCCGCTGTGTTTTCAGTGATGTTCCGGTTATCTTCTGTCGTTGTTTTTTTTTGTCCCGGATGTGTCCGTTTTAGAGCCCCCACTTGTAATGTGCTCATCTAGGGGCATGTATTGTTTACATTGCTTTCAGACGAACAGTGAGTTGAAACGACACAGCATGAACGAATAATGAGTTCTTTGCTTTTATTCGTTGAATCGCCAGTTATCGCAAACATACATTCATGCTTCCTCGTGCTCGACTTGCTTGGCTGAATCTAGCGACCGGGACGGACTTCCCACACACTCAGGAATTTATCAGCGTCTCTCGAACCATCCATCTATACTTCATGGACTCTGATCTCTGACATTCGACGTATGGAAAAACATTCAGTCCTCCTATTGAAATATAACGTTCACTTCACAAATCATTTATTCTTCTCAGGCGTTCATTCACGCGTCCTGTCTCAGTCAGGGCAGAACTTCAACTGTCTTACTTCAGTCTCTCGGTTCACGTCTTCCGTTCACGTCTCATGCTTTTCTTGTGTCTCTCACTTCGTTTACCATGAGACACATGAGACTCACTTCTCCCGTTTTTCTCTTCTCTCACGGGTCCTCCGACCTTTTTCTCCCCATCGGGAACTCTCTGGGGTTTCCCCGGGAATTCACAACATTACAATAAGTAATTATTTATAAAAACTATGATTCAGATTGTCTCCCCTATGGAAGTTAATGTTGATTCGTTCTTTTCTTTGGCAACATCCATTGTATTAAAAAAAATAGTATGTACTCCAAGATAGTTTTTCGAAAGGCTACTTAAACAGTTACATTTGGTACCACATTAATCCAGGCATTGTGCATTAATCTTATAATGATAGTACTACGTTGTGTACAACAATTAACTCTGTGAAACGGTCAAGGCGAATCCTAGCCAGTTTATATGTGCTGTCCTAAATCGGGGCTTAGTTACATCTGCAGATGTGAAGTTCTTAGTCTTATACACCCTGTTTGCTTCTTGGCTTGGAGATGGAAGGAGAGCTCTACAGCACTGTCACCAAAGATGGTTCTTCAGTGATGTGTCACAGCAAATGTCTCTACACCAGTGTTACTCCAGTGGATGCAAGCCCTTGTCATGACAGGCAGCCTGAAGGCCAGTGCATCACATTTAAGAATTAAGATTTGTTCTTCCAGAGAAAAATTATCTGCTGTCTGATTTATGTAGAAAGTTTATGTTTGCATTGGCTTTTCTTTCTATCAGACATTTAACTGGGCCCCTGATAGAACGAGTTGCTACTGAGTTCAACAAGCTGCAGTTTTATGTCACACGCAGTAAAGGTCACCCTTTAGTGGAAAAAGTAAAGCCTGTAAGTTGGTTTTTTTTTTTTTTTTTAAATATGATGAAACAACTGTCCTGAAATCCCATGCAATTATTGGGAAAGTCTTTTCTTTACACGGGCGGGTCTTGCTAGTCACACCGGCCATCGCCATGCGCTGTGAGTCTCATGCCTCCTCATAGAGCAACATAACAGTGTCATCTGGAAAGACAGAAGGTCACAACAATAACAACAGAAGATGTAAAACAGTAGAATATTCTCATGGAGGAAATTTTGAGCAAGGGAAGCAATGACAACAGGATGAATATGGAAGCTTTTAAACAGCTGGGAAACAATTAGTAATATAAGCAGTGTCAGCTTCAATAAGAGATCAGCAGATGACAGAGAGAAATGGAGTCATAATTGCTGATAGTCTGGTCAGATAAGTTTACCTTAATAGGTTCCATGGCAACAAATCAACAGATGTTTATATGCATCTGTGCATCTCTCTGTCTCTCTCTCTCTCTCTCTCTCTCTCTCTCTCTCTCTCTCTCTCTCTCTCTCTCTCTCTCTCTCTCTCTCTCTCTCTCTCTCTCTCTCTCTCTCTCTCTCTCTCTCTCTCTCTCTCTCTCTCTGTCACTCACACACAAACACATCCCCCGACACCCATCTGCAAAGAGTCAGTTGCTGACCATTAGCCTATAGGTGAGTTAGTGTAGTGTACACTTGGTTTTTGGATTTTCATTTACTGACAAATGAACAAGACAGCCAGCCTATTCAGCGGGCTTGCATCACATGTTGCCAAAAGCTCGGCGATACCTAAAGGAAACATTAGGGAGATACAACAGGCTTTGATCGGCAATACCATAAGTGTAACCTTTTGGGAAGTGGGGACTACAGTGGCAGTATGTTTTCGTAATGTACAATGACAAGTTCATTGACCAGTTGCAAACTTTGTTCTTGCAGAAACATCTTGTCATTGTCTAAGATTTGTGAATGAAGGGGCATTCAGTACATTCCATTTTGATGGAGGATTAAGTCATGTTGAAGTGTCCACAAATTCAGGCCATCGCTAGTAATAATGAAACAACTAAACATCCTCTGGAAGTTATTCACAACTTTGCTGGACTGCGCAAATAGCAGAAGTAATTTCTTGATCACCATGGTCACTGGTTGTGATTTTTGCGGATATGGGTAAAGACCAAGGTGCAGTCGTTACAGTGGAGACATTCATCCTGTCTGAGGCCAAACAGAGAGAGGCAGATGTGCAGCGTCAGACTCATTTTGAAGGCTGATCTGGATAACAAATGCCTACAAAAGTTTATGTCAGCCGAAAGGCCAAAAGTTGCAGCCATATTGTAAACAGGCACAGTACATTTACATTCTCAGATGAACGCAGAAGAAGAAGAACTCATTTTAGTTTTCTCTTTGACTTCTGTGGCTTGGTGGCATGAAGTGTGCTTCCTAACATCAAAACATTGCATCCTCTTCATGATGCTATGTAGCATAGATGACTGGCAATATGGGTAACAGTAACTTCACAGCTCAGTGATGTTTACTCTTGTCTAATAATGATTGTATGTTTGTAAATAGAATATCACATGATGTTAAACATGTTTCTCATGTCTAGCGGATTGCTGTGATCACGACTACACTTCAGTACAGTCTGGAGGGCTCTTTCTTGTCAGGCTTGGAGACTGGCAACACTGGAATGCTTCGCCAGTGCCTTAGAACATATGCACTTATTGACAAAACAGGTGATGCAGAAGCCTTATTCAGACAGTATGTGGTGCGCCCATATATGGAACAGGTAAGTGATTTATCACATAGCTGTTCACACTATTTTCTTTTAACTTGATCCCCAGACATATGTTAACCCACCAGCTGCCATAACCTGGTCCCCAGACATATGTTAACCCATCAGCTGCCATAACTTGGTCCCCAGACATATGTTAACCCATCAGCTGCCATAACTTGGTCCCCAGACATATGTTAACCCATCAGCTGCCATAACCTGGTCCCCAGACATATGTTAACCCATCAGCTGCCATAACCTGGTCCTCAGACATATGTTAACCCATCAGCTGCCATAACTTGATCCTCAGACATATGTTAACCCATCAGCTGCCATAACTTGGTCCTCAGACATATGTTAACCCATCAGCTGCCATATCTTGATCCTCAGACATATGTTAACCCATCAGCTGCCATAACCTGGTCTTCAGACATATGTTAACCCATCAGCTGCCATAACTTGGTCCTCAGACATATGTTAACCCATCAGCTGCCATAACCTGGTCCCCAGACATATGTTAACCCATCAGCTGCCATAACCTGGTCCTCAGACATATGATAACCCACCGGCTGCCATAACCTGGTCCTCAGACATATGTTAACCCATCAGCTGCCATAACCTGGTCCTCAGACATATGTTAACCCATCAGCTGCCATAACCTGGTCCTCAGACATATGTTAACCCACCAGCTGCCATAACCTGGTCCTCAGACATATGTTAACCCATCAGCTGCCATAACCTGGTCCCCAGACATATGTTAACCCATCAGCTGCCATAACCTGGTCCTCAGACATATGTTAACCCATCAGCTGCCATAACCTGGTCCTCAGACATACGATAACCCACCGGCTGACATAACGAGGTCCCCAGATATATGATAACCCATCAGCTGCCATTACCTGGTCCCCTGACAAATGATAACCCATCAGCTGCCATAACCTGGTCCCCTGACAAATGATAACCCATCAGCTGCCATAACTTGGTCCCCAGACATATAATAACCCATCAGCTGCCATAACTTGGTCCCCAGACATATGTTAACCCACCGGCTGCCACGATCACCTTTTATGCAATCCACCAATGTTTATGCCTGGCTACCACAATCACACTCCCTGTGATCGTAACTTTGGATGGTCTCCGCCATGTTAAAATTGCGCCTTTTGTGATAAATTTAGTTGAATCCATTAGTCTATTCATTTCTCTATGGTTATTTAAGGGAAACAATTCGGTAGTGTTTAAAGAAAATTGTCCACAAATAATTGTGGTTAGCCGCCGAGTCGATTACGCATTAGAAGCATTTCTTAAAATAAACGGGCTGATCATTAGGGTCGACATGGTGGAATAGTTTGGAGAATATTTCTTATGCCAGGTGATATTGAAAGATAAGATGTTTAGCTTACAGTAGTGACATGGCAGTCGAAGGCAGGTGTGTTATGTTACATTAGTTCATGTAAACTGTTTCATGTATGTGCTTCAGGTGTGTTAATGTTAGATGCCTCTGTTTGTCTAGATTGTACATTACAGTTTGTGCTTACCATTTAGGGAAAATCATTTCATAATGCAATCCTTGACGTGATGTACACAGAGTGAATGGCCAAATGTGTGCAAGCAGATGCTAACGCCACAACTAATGCACTAAAGTCTTGAATAACTGCTTTAACAGAATCTAGGTGAATAATTCCTACCCATACAATAATGCTTCAAGACTAGATAATTTCGTCAAACACCGTACAATACTTATCACAGCTACAACCCAATCGAAACACAATGCTAAGGATCAATATTCTTATAAATAACACTATATTCTGACTGTCCTTTACACAATGTCTCTGTCGTAAATTCGCACAAATTCTCCCCACAAATGCTCCCCGGTCTTTCCTCGAACAGTCCTTTTGTTACTTTACAGAATTCACCCCCACTGGGCTGCTAGTGATCGGTCAAGCATACAGCCGAGTCCAGCTAAGTCTTCATGGCTTTTCTCTTAGTCAATCTGTCTGGTCTCACCCTGAGTTCATATATGGGTCATCCCTTACCTACAACAACGGTCTGACAACATCATCATGTTGCCCACCTGGCATCTGACATTGACCTGAAAGGATTTATTATTAACATGAAACAGTTTATATACCATCATTAAAGAGTTTTTCACTGTTCATTAGTTTATTGTTATTATTACATTAATATACTTTTTGCTGGCGGGAAACACTATATTAGCAGCACTAAATAGTCTATTTATTTTTAACTACTTAAATAAGGATTATTATATTTATTTCCTGGAATCAGGCAGTTTATTCTCAGCATTAATAAATGTATTTTCAGCAGTTTATTCTCAGCATTAATAAATTTATTTTCAGCAGTTTATTCTCAACATTAATAAAAAAAATTTTAGCAGTTCTCATCATTAATAAATTTATTTTCAGTAGTTTATTCTCAGCACTAATAAATTTATTTTCAGCAGTTTATTCTCAGCATTAATAAAAAAAATGTTCAGCAGTTTATTCTCAGCATTAATAAATTTATTTTTAGCAGTTTATTCTCAGCATTATTAAATTTATTTTTAGCAGTTTATTCTCAGCATTATTAAATTTATTTTTAGCAGTTTATTGTCAGCATTAATAAATTTATTTTCAGCAGTTTATTCTCAGCATTAATAAATTTATTTTCAGCAGTTTATTCTCAGCATTAGTCCGCTCTGTGGCTAAGTTGATGCCAACGCTTCATAATGACGGGGTACCGGGTTCGATCCCAGCTGTGGGCCATACGCCTTGGGTTGGTTGGTTTTACCAGTGGTATCAGTGTCCGACCGTCCAGAAAGCAATGACAAACTACTGGACGTAAATATGCCTAGAGAAACCACTCAACCGCCAGTGGCTGCTGGGGTTGGTTCTGCAACGTCCTGTAAAGGATACGCAACTAACCAATCTTAGCATTAATAAATTTATTTTCAGCAGTTTATTCTCAGCATTAATAAATGTATTTTCAGCAGTTTATTATCAGCATTATGAAATTTATTTTCAGCAGTTTATTCTCAGCATTAATAAATGTATTTTCAACAGTTTATTCTCAGCATTAATAAATTTATTTTCAGCAGTTTATTCTCAGCATTATTACATTTATTTTCAGCAGTTTATTCTCAGCATTAATAAATTTATTTTTAGCGGTTTATTCTCAGCATTAATAAATTTATTTTCCGGTTTAACAGTAATTTTTTGACATTATAGAATGTTGTGAGATTTTAGAATGCATTTTCATATTGTTTTATTCCTCACTTAGATTATCAATGAGGACTTCTTGCGTCGGCATGGTGGTGACGTCTCTGTGATGTTTGAGCAAGTCCTGACCTTTATCCCAGACAAATGCTCCGTGCTGGGCAGTATCACCACAGGCACGAGGTAAATCATTTTGTTTATTTTCTGGTTTCTGAAGGAAATAATCATTGCAAATATAAAATAGTAATGAAATGATAAGTAATTTAGGAAAGGGGTTACTTCAAAAAAGATGTTTTAAAAGGATTTATATTTAAGCTTTAAAAAATGAATGAGCATGATTAATGACCTTTGAAAGAAAGAATTTGAAATATTTATAAGATTTTGGAAAACGATTATTATCAAGATTTAGTATACAAAATGTATGACCAAGAATATTTAGTTAAAAAAAAAGTTTATAAAGTGGAAGATTTTGTTGATTTGTTATAAGAAGAATGGTTTAGTCCACCCGCACTGGTTTGCAAATTGTTTGCTTCGTAACCGTTTTCTGTTGCTCCCACTATAACTGCTATATTGTTGAACAGGGGTTCCAGGAATCGTACCTGTGTGATTCTCATCCTCGAGATGTGAATCCTACAGAATACAAATCTGAAGGGGGGCGGAGGGAGCATAGCAGATTTATTGGAAGTTGCATGATGGGAAATTTGTTTGTAAACACCATTAAGAAGGGTGTGATAAAGAAATTATTAGAAGGAATATTAAGTTTTAACTGATTCAAGAAAGCATTTTTTGTAAAAGTCAATAAGGGGGCTTTTTTAAAATAAAAATGATGTAATACAGTTACTATTATCCGAACTAGGCAACCTCTGTAAATTAGTAATGCAGTGGATACCTTCCCACTGTGGAGTTCCCGGAAACGAAAAAGCTGATAAACTAGCTAAGGAAGGTGCAACTGAAGAACAACCTGACATACCAGTCTCTTATCAACAGAAGAAGAGAATGATCAAATCAATCAGAATGCCACCGAAACTGGCACAAGATGATTACCATATTATGGACAGACCAGAGCAAGTTATTATCCTTCGCCTTAGAACAGGGCACAATAGACTTCGCTCCCACATGTACAACAAATTTAAGATTGGCCAATCGGCCATGTGTACTTGTGGACTGGCACCCGAAACAACAGATCACATCCTTCAAGACTGTCCCAGATTCAACGCTTTCAGGCAAAACATTTGGCCAAAAGAGACACTTGTTGAAGTCAAACTTTACGGGCCGCTTAGTGAATTACAAAAGACAGTGAAATTCATACAAGAGACAGCTTTGCAGATATAGACAATTTATTTCATGCGAACGAAAGAAGAAGAAGAAGAAGTTATTATGAAAAATAGAGACAGTTTGTACTGCTTCTTTTTAATGCAAATAAATTGTCTCACACAGATAATGAATATTAACTGAACAGTTTTAACGGAAGTTAGGTACCAACATTAAAATTGTAAAAAGTATGAAATAAAAGGGAGTGAGTATATCGTAGGTGGTAGTCTAAATTTATGTATTGTTAGATGTGGTTTTAGATTGGCTTAATATTGTTAATTTTATTACAGCATTTGCATTCTTGTTGTTTTCAGTGGTGATATAGTACGGGGCTATGATTTTATAGTGAATGCCGTTTTTCCGGAAATTGTCACAAATCTTGAGATGAGGGTATCCTCCATGTTTGCACCAGGAAATCCAGATGCTTTCCACAAGGTGGGTTACAAAATAAATGGTTTTAATAGATTTGATGCAGTTTTTCCATTCAAGCTGTACAATGTCTTGTATACACTATTTTTTAAAAAAGAAAGACATGGCAAGGCAAGGCTATTGAAAGAAACATAATTTTGACATTCAAAATCTTTGTAATTTAATTAGTGAAATTGTTAAAATTGCACACAAGAATACCTTAGAGTTCAACCAGTCAATTTACATTTCTTTTGCATCTGGGCTATTGATAATTTTTAGGCATATGGGCTTTCCTGCACCTTATAAATCATGCCATTTCATAACTACTTTAAAAAAAAAATTTAAACATTGAATGTTTGTGAAATATTTATCCACACTGTTGACTTACTTTCTTAAGAACTTTGGTTCAACAGTTTTGAAAAATAATATAGAAATCAGAACTAGAATTACCATTGCAAAAGTTGCCTTGGGAGGTGGGGGGGAGGCTAAATCAGTGAAAGATTTGCGGTGAGAAGACCATGTTTAAGTGCTTGTAAAACTACCATGCATTTATTTTGTTGTTATACATATGTACCTCCAACAGTAAGATTGTTTGCATATCTTGACCTGCCATTCTAAGCAAATTATCAGGTAATATGTTTGTGTGTTGGTGGGTGTAGGCGGCACATGTGTGCACATGATTTTTGGGTAGTGGGCGCAACAAGCCCATAGAACCTACGTGTACATTGTTGAAAAAAAAAAAAAAAAATTCCTGTGCCATTGGCAGTTAAAAAATTACCAGGCCACTGCTAAGAGTTTTTCTAATTAGAGACAGCTCTCCCCAAAAGGAAAGGAATAATATATAGAATGTAGGGATTCTTCTATATATATGTTGAGATCCTTTCCGGCAATGTGAAATTGATTTGCTATGCTAAAATGTTCTTTGTGTAATGAAAAGGAGGAGACTGGAACAGTTATGGGATCTCTGTTTGTGGTGAATAGAAGAAATAAAAGTAAAAGAACCCTTTTCCTTGCCTTCAGGCATATCGGGCACAAAGGGTTAGACCTGTATTTTATAGATCAATTGGCACTTGGTAGAAGATATGGTCAGCATCGTGCCGGCCGCCTTAACTTCTTATGACTTTACCTGGTACCCTGGGAGCCAAGGTGTCAGGGTTCGCCCTGTTATGGGACAGTTCAGTATGATGATGAATAATCTCGTCATTGTACCCTGGGACCCTTGGTGCAACTCAGTACATGTATACACACATATAAACGAGTATGAACGTATGAGCGAAGTGTAGCTTGGTCAAGGACAAGCGGATTTCATGAAGGTTGACCACCGAGTGAACTCGGGAACGCAGAACAAAATGACCGGGCAGGCTGGACTCGGGGCTCTTGACGCTTGCTGGTGTGACTGCTGTGTAGCTTGATGTGGGACGAGAGATTAGATTGTGCTAGATTTAGGAACAGTTTGTTCTGACTTGTAGGAATGTACCAGTGTAGTTAGTAGCTGTAACTCATTATGTTGGTAGTGTCATTAAATGTATTTAATTCATTACAGGGTAGATAACATGTGTTCTATTAAGATCTTAGTTAGTATTACATTCAAGATAGTAGCTAGACTGTGTCAGTAGTTATAACTCTTAACTATAAGTCAGACAATGCATTTTTTGTGGCATTAGCACTGTCGACGCACATCCGAGCTTCACGTGGCGTGTGCCATAGCGTCTTTGGCATTGGGAGACAGCGGGTTGAGTTGGGGAGATTAGTAGGGGCTCAGAGCTTATATCATGAACGTGTAAAGGCGCCTCTAAGTGATTTTAAAGTTAGATGCGGCCTGGTTTCAGAATAAGGAGCGCTACCACACCTGAGGTGTATCACCACTTCGTTTCTTTGATAATAAAGATTGTTTGTGTGTTGCAACCAGTGTTTGGCTTGAGTGTGTTTGTCAACAGTGTTTTCCTGTCATTAGCCTGTAGCAGAACCAATGGAATCCAACCTTAGACAATGAGTTTCCTGACAAAGGTCATTTTTGAAAAAAAAGTGGCTTTTTCAGGACTTGAACTGACCTGAGGATGTGTTCCTAGCCACTACACTGCGACGGCTCCTGAATAGGAGGAGGTTCTACATAAATCTTCAGTGTAAATAATCCTTGAATAACCAGGCAGACACTACAAATTATTTGTTGTCTAACAGGCTGTTTGTCTGTCTCCAGAAATACAGCATATTCATGAGGTTTCTTGATGCTTTTGAGCAATGCTGTGCCTCACAAGCAAGTGTTAGGAGACTGCGACAGCATCCCAGCTACATGACCATTGTTGGGAAGTGGAGCCTGCCTGTTTACTTTCAGATAAGGTTGGCTTTTCAGTATCTTTTGTTAATACGTCATACACTTTTATGTTTTTAATTTTTCATATTGACGTCACTGCAGTGACCTATTCTCGAAAAGCCTAATTAAATTGTGTTGGTGCTGTATGCACCTGTGCCAGGATATGAATAAAGTAATGACAAAAAAATGGAAAAGGGGGGGGGGGGGGGTCTTGTGACCCCAGTGGTTTTTTTGAAAGCCAAGTTGACGTCAAATTTTCCTGTAAGCCTCACTGATAGAGGTCATGGCGTGAGTCACCAGATACATTTTTGTAAAGGCCTTCCATTTAAAGCTTCACTGTTCATGTTTAATAATTACCCCTTTATATTTAAAAAAATAATTTGCAGTGTAGTAAAATACATTTTTGAACCGTTTGTTAGTGACGTGTAATATTTTATTTTGTTCTTTAGGATTTTTCAGGAAATGTTTGTGGGTTCAGTGTCCAACTTTTTTTTTTTTAAGCATTCATGGGATGACCATGTTAAATTCCACTTAATTATCAATTTTAATATGATATTTTCATGGAACATATCTCTGTAAATATGTCAACTGTTACATATACTGGCTGTTTTATTGTAGATATCTCTGTAAATATGTCAACTGTTACGTATACTGGCTGTTTTATGGTAGATATCTCTGTAAATATGTCAACTTTTACGTATACTAGCTGTTTCATTGTAGATATCTCTGTAAATATGTCAACTTTTACATATACTAGCTGTTTCATTGTAGATATCTCTGTAAATATGCCAACTGTTACGGATACTAGCTCCTGCCTGAGCTTCCAGATCGTCCCAGCCAAAAATGTAACCAGAAAGTTATCTGGAAAGCAAAGATTTGTGGGTGTGATCCCATGTGGAGTAGCGATACATGAATAACTTTGAGAACTGACCAGTGATATTTATTCTGACAGATTTCAGGACATTGCAGGATCATTTGAAGCTGCCTTATGTTCTGGACTAAGCAGCCCAACAGGCAAGTGGATTTTATGACCTAGTTTACAAATGTGGCAGAGTCTCAACTGAGTTGAGGGCTTTGAGGGCACTTAACAATTGAGAGAAAGGAATTATTCTTTGAAAATAATAGTTTACCAGAAATGGTACCATCTACACAATGGAAGTTGGCTGCTAACTGTGGGAATATTACCAGGTCCCATTCTTTTCCACGGTGCAACTCTCATAACAGTGTCTGAAAGCCACGAGAATGGTCTTTTTCTAAACCTCCCAGTAAACTGCCATTACTGCATGTTAGTTAGTAGTTAGTTGGGTTATCCTCATTGCACTCCGGACATGTCCATAGGTGCTCAGATCCTCCCCTCAGTATGAACCCCAACGTCCGATGGCTAATAGTACCAGTTCTATTTTGATTAACAAGTCTTCTGGTGTGCGTCTCGTTTTTTGCTGTGCCGATCTTAATTCCCAAGTCTGCCATTCTGGCGAGTGATGTGGATTCACTGCCACCAAAGTCCTCTATCCTTCCCATTTCTCTGAGGGCATTGATGATATCAGCATGATCCATAGGCTTTCCGTCGGTAGTGATAGCGGATCCAGCCAACCTGTCAGCTCTTTCATTTCCATCGACGCCTGCGTGTCCCGGAACAAAAATAAAGGTGACTCCACGCACAGTGGAGTAAATACTGCATATATTTACCACTTTTGTTGTGTGTGTGTGTTTGTCTTTGAACCGGAGGATTTAGGGCCGCTTTTTAGTCACTGTGGACTGTACAGGGTAGGATTTTATTTTGCTGTCAACAAAACATCCCTTACCTCACCGAGGATTTGAATCCAGGTCTCCCACTTTAGAGTCTAGCATTCTTAACCATTGGGCCAGCCGCTCCTCGACCTTCCAGTACAGGAATCAGATTATAGCAAAATAATATCAACCATGTTATTTTTACATTCACTGAATACGAATATTAAACATCACAATAGCTTAAAAATGATGTCAGAACAAACTGATGTTTCTAATGCATTATTAATTGAAAAAATTTCCTGAGACAAATGAGAAAGACAGATGTGAGCTTGGCTTATGCTGCTCAGAAATTGACAACAACAACCCTGCCAAAAATTGATAGCAACCACCCTGTCAGAAATTAACAGCAACAACCCTGTCAGAAATTAACAGCAACAAACCCTGTCAGAAATTGACAGCAATAACCCTGTCAGAAAACAGCAACAAACCTTGGCAGAAATTAACAGCAACAACCATGGCAGAAATTGAAATGCTGGCCAGCGACAGCACATGTGGCAAGTAGTCATATGTAGAGAGCAGTGTGGGTAACATATCCTAACAAACAAACTTCTGATCATACAAGGTGTTCAGTAAGTTTCCATACACAGGAAGAATGATTTTAACTATTTGTAACAATATCAGAACATGTATCAGCACAGCTGGAGTTATGCTTGTGATGACGTTGTGGAAATGTTTATTGTTCCTGTGTGTGGAAACATGGGACACCCTGTAGAATAAGACCAGGCTTGCGGTTTTAAAAAAAAAAATTACTTCTGTATTTCTTATGCGAATGTAGTGGTGATTATTATCTTATATTGTATACTCGAACACACAGGGCCTTCTGAGTTCCGACTGTTGTCTTCAAATTCCTTATGGTTGTCTCTGATGCACTGTTGGAATGACAGCATCTACCTACCAACCCTGACACACAGGTAAGAGTCTCTGATGCACTGTTGGAATGACAGCATCTACCTACCAACCCTGACACACAGGTAAGAGTCTCTGATGCACTGTTGGAATGACAGCATCTACCTACCAACCCTGACACACAGGTAAGAGTCTCTGATGCACTGTTGGAATGACAGCATCTACCTACCAACCCTGACACACAGGTAAGAGTCTCTGATGCACTGTTGGAATGACAGCATCTACCTACCAACCCTGACACACAGGTAAGAGTCTCTGATGCACTGTTGGAATGACAGCATCTACCTACCAACCCTGACACACAGGTAAGAGTCTCTGATGCACTGTTGGAATGACAGCATCTACCTACCAACCCTGACACACAGGTAAGAGTCTAAGAAGGACAACAAAGAAACTGAGGAAGAAGAAAATAATTGTGAAAATCGTCTAAGATATTAATAGGCCTTTCTGCAAGAAAATGAAGTTTGTCAGATATTTGTGTTACTTAAGCAAAAGAATGATGTATAAACTGTGAATGTTTTGGCATTGTGAAGATAAAAGTGATGTTTCCCCACTGTGAATTTTAACAAAGAAGACACAACAATAGATTGAACGATTGTATTGTCTGTAGGCCTATATTTGCCACATCAAATTGTATTTACCAGTCTAAATGCACTTGTAATGCTACATATGTTGACTAACTGATCGAAAACTGTAAGGAGTAGCTGAACATATTCTACTGTGCGTGGTAAAAGCATTGCAAAGTACTCTAACTATAAGAATTCGACAAACATGATTCCGGCAACTGGTTGAAAAGATCACTTCTCATTCATTGGGCACTACTTAAATTTTGCTCTGTGGCTACACTGAAAAGATATTATCATCGTTGACAGCTGTTCTTTTGCACAAGTGACTCTTACATGTCATATGAATCACTGTGGGCTAGCTGCATAAGAGTGGGGGGGGGGGGGAGGGAGTGTCGTGAGTTATAGGTGTGAACCCTCATTGAGACAGAAGTTTTTTTGTTTTTTTTAGAATTGGTCAGACCTGCCAGATGAGCCCAGCTTAAATTGAATACTAAGAAGTAAGGAAGAAGCTGTGGCCTTTATACTTGTCTGTCTCCTAGTGATTCGACCCCTGGATGTTTAAAAATCTGACCAAGATTCGAGATTTCTTCTGCTTTTTCTTTTTCTTTAGAATCTTAGGGTAGAGTCTCAGAAAATTATAAGAGTGCATTTTCTTAAACAGAATTTGGAAAAAGGTCTTTTTTTTTTTAAAGGATTCTTGCAAAATGCATCACATACCTCAACTGCTTTGCTTTTTCACTGAATGCATAAAAGAAATTTGCGGGAAAGAACAGCACAAATATGTTTTCTAATCCAGGTTTGTGAAATTAAATCTGCAACTTCTGTCAAGATACAAGACCTGGTTGGAAGATGTTTATCAAGAAGAGGTCGGTAACGTTTCACATGTATTTCTGTTTGAATCCTTTTGACCTGGCAAATCTGGTTTCCTGACTTTAACATGTTTTTTTTTTTAATGACATTAAGTCTTTTTTGTCAGTGGCGACTATATCTTTATAACTTTGGCACTGGTTGCACCCTTATAAGGTATAGCTGTGGTGACTATGATTATATATTTTTTTTTTAAACGTGAGATATTTTTTGCGGTGGAAAACAAATAAATTTTTTTCTTTTTTTTGTATCATCCTGGCGTTGAAATAAACTTTGTTTCCTGTGGCTGTGTCAACAAAAGCTCTTTCCTCAATAATCAAAGCGAGTCAGAGCAGTTAATTCTTTGCTACATGTATACTTAGTGATTACATCCCTTACTAGAAAATAGATTTTTTGGGGATGCAAAATAAAAAAATAAAAACAATACTTTTAGTTACCTAAAGCATTGAAAACACAATAGTTAGCCAGCTTGCCTGTCTGATCAGTGGTCATGGGTTTCAACCCCCTTGATTTTAATAAAAATTGACCAAGACTTCATATTTCTTCTGCTTATTCTTCTCTTCCTTTAGTTTCTTACAGGAGTGTTTCAGAGAATTATAAATAAGCGTTTATGTTTCAAAAGATTTTGAAGTTTTTAAATATTTTTTTTTTAAAGATTCTTATAAGGTGATAGGGTTAACACTTCTTTGGACACCTTCAGAGATAAATGTTTGTCTCACCCACTTTAGACACCTTCAGAGACAGATGTTTGTCTCAATGACTTTGGACACCTTCAGATACAGTCTAACCAACTTTGGACATCTTTAGAGACATGTTTGTCTCACCAACTTTGGACATCTTTAGAGACAGATGTTTGTATCACCAACTTTGAACACCTTCAGAGACAGATGTTTGTCTCACCAACTTTGGACATCTTTAGAGACAGATGTTTGTCTCACCAACTTTGGACACCTTCAGAGAAAGATGTTTGTCTCACCAACTTGGACACCTTCAGAGACAGATGTTTGTCTCACCAACTTTCGACACCTTTAGGGGCAGATGTTTGTCTCACCAACTTTAGACACCTTCAGAGAAAGATGTTTGTCTCACCAACTTTGGACATCTTTAGAGACAGATGTTTGTCTCCCCAACTTTGGACATCTTTAGGGACAGATGTTTGTCTCACCAACTTTAGACACCTTTAGGGACAGATGTTTGTCTCACCAACTTTGGACACCTTTAGGGACAGATGTTTGTCTCACCAACTTTGGACAACGTTAGGGACAGATTTTTGTCTCACCAACTTTAGACACCTTCAGAGACAGATGTTTGTCTCACCAACTTTGGACACCTTTAGGGACAGATGTTTGTCTCACCAACTTTGGACACCTTTAGGGACAGATGTTTGTCTCACCAACTTTGGACACCTTTAGGGACAGATGTTTGTCTCACCAACTTTGGACACCTTTAGAGACAGATGTTTGTCTTACCAACTTTGGACACCTTCAGAGACAGATGTTTGTCTCACCAACTTTGGACACCTTTAGGGACAGATGTTTGTCTCACCAACTTTGTGCACCTTTAGGGACAGATGTTTGTCTCACCAACTTTGGAAACTTTTAGGGACAGATGTTTGTCTCACCAACTCCGAGTATGCCATCAGTCATTTCTGATGCGTGCGTTCTTCTTTGCCACGATACCAAACTAACATCTTTTTTCTGTCAGTCGTCCTGTGCTTATTTTAACCTGCCAACTTTCCCACTGTCACACCACCGTCCAACTTTCCCACTGTCACACCACCGTCCAACTTTCCCACTGTCACACCACCGTCCAACTTTCCCACTGTCACACCACCGTCCAACTTTTCCACTTCAAACCACCGTCCAACTTCCCCACTGTCACACCACCGTCCAACTTTCCCACTGTCACACCACCGTCCAACTTTCCCACTGTCACACCACCGTCCAACTTTCCCACTGTCACACCACCGTCCAACTTTCCCACCACCGTCCAACTTTCCCACTGTCACACCACCGTGCAACTTTCCCACTTCACACCACCGTCCAACTTTCCCACTTCACACCACCGTCCAACTTTCCCACTATCGTTAAAAATTAAAATAGCTTTGGAAAAGTTATCATTCTTCTTTTAAATTTGTATTTTTATACATATCTTTTAGGCTGCTCGTAAATTAGAGCACAGTAGCGATATGAAACAGCAGTCAGCGATCCCAGATAGATTCAGCAACCCATCACCAACTGGTATTGGCGGGGATCAGAGGTCAGCATCACCCAAGACTGTATTTACACAAGAAGCCCCTCTACGGCCGCCGATAACCACATCACAGATTGTTGCTATTATGTCAGATATGGAAAAACTTTCTTGTAAGGTGAGCCTGTTGCAGAAAGATCAGCTATGGAAAAACTTTCTTGTAAGGTGACCCTGTTGCAGAAAGATCAGATATGAGAAAACTTTCTTGTAAGGTGAGCCTCTTGCAGAAAGATCAGATATGGGAAAACAGTCTTGTAAGGTGAGCCTCTTGCAGAAAGATCAGATATGGGAAAACTTTCTTGTAAGGTGAGCCTCTTGCAGAAAGATCAGATATGGAAACACTTTCTTGTAAGGTGAGCCTCTTGCAGAAAGATCAGATATGGAAAAACTTTCTTGTAAAATGAGCCTCTTGCAGAAAGATCAGATATGGAAAAACTTTCTTGTAAAGTGAGCCTCTTGCAGAAAGATCAGATATGGAAAAACTTTCTTGTAAGGTGAGCCTCTTGCAGAAAGATCAGATATGGAAAAACTTTCTTGTAAGGTGAGTCTCTTGCAGTAAGATCAGATAGGGGAAAACTTTCTTGTAAGGTGAGCCTCTTGCAGAAAGATCAGATATGGAAAAACTTTCTTGTAAGGTGAGTCTCTTGCAGAAAGATCAGATATGGTAAAACTTTCTTGTAAGGTGAGCCTCTTGCAGAAAGATCAGATATGGAGAAACTTTCTTGTAAGGTGAGCCTCTTGCAGAAAGATCAGATATGGGAAAACTTTCTTGTAAGGTGAGTCTCTTGCAGAAAGATCAGATATGGGAAAACTTTCTTGTAAGGTGAGCCTCTTGCAGAAAGATCAGATATGGAAAAACTTTCTTGTAAGGTGAGCCTCTTGCAGAAAGATCAGATATGGGAAAACTTTCTTGTAAGGTGAGTCTCTTGCAGAAAGATCAGATATGGGAAAACATTCTTGTAATGTGAGCCTCTTGCAGAAAGATCAGATATGGGAAAACTTTCTTGTAAGGTGAGTCTCTTGCAGAAAGATCAGATATGGGAAAACTTTCTTGTAAGGTGAGCCTCTTGCAGAAAGATCAGATATGGAAAAACTTTCTTGTAAGGTGAGCCTCTTGCAGAAAGATCAGATATGGGAAAACTTTCTTGTAAGGTGAGTCTCTTGCAGAAAGATCAGATATGGGAAAACTTTCTTGTAAGGTGAGTCTCTTGCAGAAAGATCAGATATGGGAAAACTTTCTTGTAAGGTGAGCCTCTTGCAGAAAGATCAGATATGGGTAAAGCCTCTGCAGAAAGATCAGATTCTTTCTTGTAATGTGAGCCTCTTGCAGAAAGATCAGATATGGGAAAACTTTCTTGTAAGGTGAGTCTCTTGCAGAAAGATCAGATATGGGAAAACTTTCTTGTAAAGTTACTTTGTTACAGACTGATGGAGAAAACTTTCTTGTAGTGAGCCTATATATCATGTATGGGAAAACTGTCTTATAATGTGTCTCAGGCTGAAGTGAGAAAACTTTCTGGTTAAGTTGCTCTCTTTCAGAGAAATGTGGGAAACTTTCTTATAAGATGAGCCTTTTGCAGGTAAATCAGATAAATGGAAATCTCGTAGATGGGTCTAGAAGAACTTTCTTGTAAGGTGAACCTCTTATGTCAAATAGGTGAAAAACTTTCTTGTTGTGTGAGCCTTTTGCAGATAAAGGAAACCTTGTTGAAAAAATTATTTTCTTGCAGTAAGAAATGGGAAAACTTTCTTGTAAATTGAACCTGTTAGCATTGTATCAGATATGGAAAGTTTTCTTGTCTTATGACACTTTTTATATCGTTATATTAGATATGGGAAAACTTTCTTGTCAGGTGATAAACCTCTTATAGAAAATGAATGAGCACAGAATGTAACTAAGATATTTGACAAAAGGAATGGCAGATGCAGGTAAAGCAAACTTCTGAAAAATGAACGGAAGAAAACAAAGCCAGAAAACTCACAAATTACAAATAACTAATTCACATGTTTCAGGTAATCTTCTTTTGTTAGTATCTGCCTTTTGCCGCTCGGCATCACATTGTAAGAAGTGATAGGTAGCTGAGCCAGGGCATGCTCGGCTGCTTGGTGTCCTGTTATATTTCAGTCTCAGTCTGTCAGTGACTCAGTCTATCAGTGACTCAGTCTGTCAGTGACTCAGTCTATCAGTGACTCAGTCTGTCAGTGACTCAGTCTATCAGTGACTCAGTCTGTCAGTGACTCAGTCTGTCAGTGACTCAGTCTGTCAGTGACTCAGTCTGTCAGTGACTCAGTCTATCAGTGACTCAGTCTATCAGTGACTCAGTCTGTCAGTGACTCAGTCTATCAGTGACTCAGTCTGTCAGTGACTCAGTCTATCAGTGACTCAGTCTGTCAGTGACTCAGTCTGTCAGTGACTCAGTCTGTCAGTGACTCAGTCTGTCAGTGACTCAGTCTATCAGTGACTCAGTCTATCAGTGACTCAGTCTGTCAGTGACTCAGTCTATCAGTGACTCAGTCTGTCAGTGACTCAGTCTGTCAGTGACTCAGTCTGTCAGTGACTCAGTCTGTCAGTGACTCAGTCTGTCAGTGACTCAGTCTGTCAGTGACTCAGTCTATCCATCTTCTTCTAGGTCTCCTGCTGCCTCTTGATGTTTTCATTTTTCCTGATTTCAAATAGTTTCTGGAGAAGTTGTTTAGTGCACATTTAATTCCACTGCTGGTTTTGCTGGACCTGCCGCAGCCTCATTCTTAAAGAAACACTGAGTTACACATATGAGTCACATGTATCAGTAAATAACATCAAACAGAATCCCTCAGTTCGTGAGGAAAAAATACAGAAAGAGTTGGGGATTGAAAAGAAAAGCATAAATGAACATAGCAGGAAAGAAAAATACACATAAATAAAGAATTCATGCATGCACGCTTGCACCTGCAAGCGTTCATTTTTACATTTGTTAACAGTACAGTGATTACCAGGACATGTTCTGTGAAGTAAATATGGCTGAGAGATACTGAAACATAACCGATCTGCAATACTGAAATATTACAGATCAGTGATACTGAAATATCAGTGATACTGAAACATCACAGATCAATTATACTGAAACATCACAGATCAATGATACTGAGACATCACCGATCAGTGATACTGAAACATCCCCAGTCAGAGCGATACTGAAACATCAATGAGTGATACTGAAACATCACCAATCAATGATAATGAAACATCATCCATCAATGATACTGAAATATCACCAGTCAATGATACTGAAACATCACAGGTCAATGATACTGAAATGTCATCGATCAGTGATACTGAAATGTCATCGATCAGTGATACTGAAACATCATTGATCATAGTGATACTGAAATGTCACTGATCAGTGATACTGAAACATCATCGATAAGAGTGATACTGAAATGTCACTGATCAGTGATACTGAAACATTGTCAGTCAGAGTGATACTGAAATATCATCGATCAGTGATACTGAAACGTCATGTCAGTTATACTGAAACATCACCAATCAGCTATACTGAAACAACACCGATCAGTTATACTGAAACATCATTCATACATTCACTTAGCTGTCACAGAATCTCCCTAACACACTTGAACAGTAGACATATGCAAACATGTTCCAGAATATAGCTACTGGATCCAGGAAGGCAACAAATGCCTGTATATACATTTTTGGATGGGGAAGAAGAAGAAGATACTGGATAGAAAGTCTACAGGAATATTTAACAAAGAAAGCTAGTGTTCTGTGTCACCACCTCGCGCTCTGTATTTTATGCATAAATGTATTTTCATATAATTAAATAAACATTGTTGTGATCTTTCAGTTGCCAGAATTATTTGAAAGTGTGATCAAACCAAAACTTTGTGCTGTTGGGTTTGAGCATACAGAACTTGTAAAAGGTATGGAATTTTGTTTTCCTTTATGTCTTCATTATCAGGTGGAATTGTAAATTATCTGCACATCTGTGAATTTAGAGCACTCCAGAAATAGGCTGATAAAGAGCATAATTCTGCTGAACTTACACTATTGAAGGTGAATAAATGTGGCATCCACCAACTTCCATGCATCCACTGAAACCTCTACAATAATGTCAGGAACTTATAGCTACTGCTTGTATTGGAGTCATTAGGTCAGTGGTTCTCAACCTGTTGGTCGCGATCTATTGGGGGGTCAAATGAACCTTTTACAGGGGTCGCCTAAGACCACCAGAGAATACATATTTACTGAAATTATAAAGTAGAAATGAAAATAATGTTATGGTTAGGGGTCACCAACAGTACTAATAAAGTAAGACCTAAGAATTATGTAGTCATTGAATTTAAAACAAAATCATGTACAGGTAACACATTAGTGTGTTTGTAGCACATTAGTGTGTTTGTAGCACATTAGTGTGTTTGTAACACATTAGTGTGTTTGTAGCACATTAGTGTGTTTGTAACACATTAGTGTGTTTGTAGCACATTAGTGTGTTTGTAACACATTAGTGTGTTTGTAGCACATTAGTGTGTTTGTAGCACATTAGTGTGTTTGTAGCACATTAGTGTGTTTGTAGCACATTAGTGTGTTTGTAGCACATTAGTGTGTTTGTAGCACATTAGTGTGTTTGTAGCACATTAGTGTGTTTGTAGCACATTAGTGTGTTTGTAGCACATTATTGTGTTTGTAGCACATTAGTGTGTAGCACATTAGTATGTTTGTAGCACATTAGTGTGTTTGTAGCACATTATTGTGTTTGTAGCACATTAGTGTGTTTGTAGCACATTAGTGTGTTTGTAGCACATTAGTATTTCTATAGAACTATGTGGAGAAACACTATGAACAGATAAATGGACATTTCTTTCATGGAAATAGAAATATAACAGTTGAAAACAAAGTGTGTGTGTGTGTGTGTGTGTGCAAGCGTGTGGTTTTTATATACACACACACACACATATGATGCAAAATTTAAAACACACACAAAGACAAAATAATGGAAGAATGGTGGAGGAAAGCAGATTCAGCTTATTCTGAAAATTGTAGGGGTAACAAATCAAGAACCTGATAACGGATTTTTAGCACAAGCGGCCACAATTATTTTTAAAAAAAAAACTGGCCGGCACCTGCTGTAGCAATAGTTTCTTCTTAAAATTATCAGTTTTGTACTGTTGCAGACTGGTATACTTTTTTTTTTTAAATGTGACTTTTACTTGAACTTGAAGATGCCTTACAAGAAGGTCTGGAAGCCGCCTGTGAATGCAAACCCAAGTTTTGGAGTATGGTGACTGAAGATGTGATCAAGAAGTGCAGTGTGTTCCTAACTCAGGTCAATGATATTCCCAGACTCTACAGGAGAACTAAGAAGGAGGTGAGTCCTCGGCTCTGACCACTGACTCAGGATGCTGTCATATCAGTTTTGGTTTATATCCAACATAATCTCTCTGTATCCCTTGCTAGGTGTCTCGTGAGACTTACCATAAATACTTACCATATGAAATACCATAAGAAACGAATTTTCTGGGGCTGATTGGCATTCGTAGAAGTAAAGGAAATAAGAGACCAGAAAACACTGTAGTTAGGACAAATTCTGAGATCTATGGTGTCATAAATAATGTGATGAGAAGGAGAAAACGAGTACATTGTAACAGCAGTAATGTTGGAGGGGAGAAGCGGCACAGGGAAACCGAGAGAAAAAATGCTGGACAGTTTGACATCATGGCATGGAGGATCATCTGAGTCAGAGTTGATTGAAAGTACACGAGCCAGAAGGTTGTAGATAGACATGACTACCAGTGCCACATGGCATGGACTTTAAAAGAAGAAGAAGTCATTATGAGAATTCATCAATCAACTAAGGAAATAAACAGTCAACTAAGCAACCAACCAACCAGTTGAGCAAGCAGCTAAGCAACAGAATGGAACAGAATTCTCTCATCCACATAGCAAAAAAATTCTCACATTCATATTCAATTCAAGTTCTAGCAACAAGACTAAGGTCCAGAAATGGGAGAAAACCCAGAACTTTCCACCAGAGTTTGCAACTGCAAAGAAGAAGAAGAAGAAGAAAATGTATTTGTTACAAAGTGGAAAGTGTTATAGGAGAAGCAGACAGTAACCGGAGCCAACCACACATCATAAAAGGAGGTTAAGTGAGGTTAGAATAAGGCTGACTACCCAGTTCAGTAAAAACTAGCGGCACAATCCAATTAATCTTGAACAGCTACAAATTGTCCATGCCATCATCTCCACAATGAAGATTGGCTACAGAGTTTGCCACTGCTGTCTTTCTTCTTTTGTCATCTCACTGATACCAGGTTGTAACCCAGTGTCGTGGTTTTTCAGTATTTGTCTTGCACTTCTTGGGTGGCTTTTGTGGTGGATTTGTTTTTCTTTCTGCAGGTTTCAGCTTAACCATTGATCTATCTCTTTCTTGGTCTTCCCATCGCCTTCCTCCCAGATGTTCTGCTGTAAAAAGTATCATAAGCAGTTTGGTCTGGCTGCATTCTCACTAGATGGATGAACCATTTCATTCTTTGTCTGTCAGTATAATCCAGACAGGTCTTAGTCCAGCTTTCTCCCTAATGCTGGTATTCGTAACCCTGTCCCTTCTTATGTTGTTAGTGACCTTTTGTTATTCACTTAAAAGGAATTCAAAATCGGATGCATTTTATACCACATCCCACACATGCTATTGTCTCCTTTCTTCAGTTGATGTGCGAGACATATAATGTACATTGTGTTCTTCTTCAGGTTCCCACAAAACATATACTCTTCAATTGTCTGGTCCTTCTAGGTTCCCACAAAACATATACTCTGCACTGTCTTTTGCTCCTGGGTTCCAACAAAACATATACTGTGCACCATCTTGTCATCCTACATTCCCACAAAGCATATACTCTTAAATTGTATTGTCCTTCTAGGTTCCCAGAAATATATATACTACATTTTAGTCTTCTAGGTTGCCACAAAACATATATTCTACATTGTTTTCCTCACACAAAACATATATTCTACATTCTCCTTCCATGAAAATATACTCTTAAATTGTAGTCTTGCTAGGTTTGCAGAAACATATACTATACATTTCATTCTGCTAGGTTCCCAAAAAACATTCTGCATTATATTTTCTTATTGATTGGCCCCTTTCCATCTTTCCGGACAGTAGTTTTATATTGCGCTATGAGGAGACATGGGACTTAACAGCCCATGGCAGTGGCGAGTGTGACTAGCAAGACCCGCCCACGTAAAGAAAAGTCTTCCACAATGATAGCATGGGATTTCAGGACCATTGTTGTCAACATTTGTTTAGTCTGTTTCTTTTTAGACACTCATTCTTTCTGCAGTCATTTCTTCACAGTTCATCGCATTTTGTTCTGAGTCTACCTCAATACCCATATCATTGATTTCCCGCTTACACACGTCTTTAAATCGTAGTATAAGTCAACTCTTCTACCCGTCTTTAATTCACCATAAAGGATGTCCTTAGGGGCTCTGCCATCCTCCATCCTCCAGGTGTGATCCATCCACCTGAGCCTTCATTGACTAAGCATTGAGAAGACTGTTGTAATACCTGCTCTTTTCAGTGTATATACTCTTAAACTGTAGTCTTTCTAGGTTTGCAGAAACATATACTATTCTGCTAGGTTCCCAAGAAAACATTCTGCATTATATTTTCCTATTGGGCATCACATGAGAAAGCTGTTTAGCCGTCTATCCTGTGCAATAAGTTGATCAAGTTTCACTGCCATAAAGCAGAGTGCTGAGAACCCTAGCCTAATAGACAAGACTTTTTGTTTTAATCGTGAGCTTTCTGTTCTCCCAAACTCTTTTTGTTAATCTTCACATTGTTGTTGCTGCTTTACCTATCCTGATGTTGATTTCTTGATCCAGCGATTGTTATTCACTGATATTTATTTTCCTCTTAGGTTCCCACAAAACATTTACTCTACATTGTTTTTCCCTAGGTTCCCACAAAACATATATTCTACATTTTATTCTCCTCGGTTCCCATAAAACGTATTTTCTACATCGTTTTTGCTCCTAGATTCCTACTAAAGATATATTCTACATTGTTTTCTTCTAGGTTTCCACAAAACATATATTCTAAATTGTTTTCCTCCTAGGTTCCCACAAACATATATTCTACATGTTTTTCTCCTAGGTTCCCACAAAACATATATTCTACATTGTTTCCTCCTAGGTTCCCACAGACATATATTCTACATTATTTTCTCCTAGGTTTCCACAAACATATATTCTACATTGTTTTCTCCTAGGTTCCCACAAAACATATATTCTACATTGTTTTCTCCTAGGTTCCCACAAAACATATATTCTACATTGTTTTCTCCTAGGTTCCCACAAAACATATATTCTACATTGTTTTCTCCTAGGTTCCCACAAAACATATATTCTACATTGTTTTCTCCTAGGTTCCCATAAAACATATTCTACACCGTGTGTTCCTCCTAGGTTCCGACAAAACATATTCTACATTTGTTTCTCCCCCCAGGTTCCCACCAAACCATCAACATATTTGTCTGGGGTTATTAAGCCGTTAGCCCAGTTCTGTGAAGACCATTCTACAGCTTTAAATGAACAGCAGAGGACAGAGTTTCTTACCCATGTATTTGCAGCACTCAGCCAGCAGTAAGTATGAATCTGTCATCTTGTGACTGGTATGTTATGTAGTCAGTCAAGTGATGTCTGAGAAATCCTTTGACCTGTACAGTCAATAACTTAGGTGATATCTGAGCCATCTTGTGATCTGTATGTTATATAGTCTGGAGATTGGCTGAACCATCTTATGACTTGTATGTTGTGTACAGTGAATCTGGAGATTGTCTGAACCATCTTGTGATTTGTATGTTATATAGTCTGGAGATTGTCTGAACCATCTTGTGGCCTGTATGTTGTGTACAATGAATCTGGTGATTGGCTAAACCATCTTATGACTTGTATGTTGTGTACAGTGAATCTGGTGATTGTCTGAACCATCTTGTGACTTGTATGTTGTGTACAGTGAATCTGGTGATTGTCTGAACCATCTTGTGACTTGTATGTTGTGTACAGTAAATCTGGAGATTGTCTGAACCATCTTATGACTTGTATGTTGTGTACAGTGAATCTGGTGATTGTCTGAACCATCTTGTGACTTGTATGTTGTGTACAGTGAATCTGGTGATTGTCTGAACCATCTTGTGACTTGTATGTTGTGTACAGTGAACCTGGTGATTGTCTGAACCATCTTGTGACTTGTATGTTGTGTACAGTCAGTCAGATGATGTCTGAACCATCTTGTGACCTGTACGATCCGAGCCTCTATGTAGCATATACCATGCCTTGCACCCGATGCCTCTTCACAAACTGACGCTGAAAGGCAGAACAGGACTAGAGAAGAAGAAGTCGGGTCTTTTAATATGACTGAAATATTTAACTTGAAAATGTCAATCTGTTTGAAGATGCCAGAGTAAAACAATTTGTAAACATTGGCTAAAAGAGCAGTTAGCTGTGCAACCCTTGCTTGAACGTACATGTGTATGTATGTACTGATTAGTCAAGAATATCTGTACTGTCAATTGAGAAATGTGTAATGTGTGTGTCCTGTGTCCAAATTTTATGTGTAGCGAAATGAAAAAAATTATCATTTCTGTGAAGACTGTGCATGTAATAAATGGAGAAAAGTATTTATTCATTTTTGAAAAAAATGCATGTAGTGAATTAAGAAACATTATTTCATAAGTTTCTTAAGAATATGTTTATAGTAAAGGGAGAAAAGTATTATAATAATTTGGTCTGAATATGCATACAGTGAAGGAAGAAAAATACATGTGTGTAATGTCAAGAATATCTATGCAATGAAGGGAGAATAATTAATGTGGTTTGTATATGAAGTCAAGAATATGAATGTAGTGAAGGGAGAATAATTAATGTGGTTTGTATATGAAGTCAAGAATATGAATGTAGTGAAGGGAGAATAATTAATGTGGTTTGTATATGAAGTCAAGAATATGAATGTAGTGAAGGGAGAATAATTAATGTGGTTTGTATATGAAGTCAAGAATATGAATGTAGTGAAGGGAGAATAATTAGTGTAGTGTGTATATGAAGTCAAGAATATGTAGTGAAGGGAAAATAATCTAATGTACCTATAGTCAGCAATATATAATGTTATGAAGGGAAAGTAATTAGTATAGTGTGTACAGACAAGAATAGATATGAAATGAAAGGAGAATAAATAGTAGTGTGTACAGACAAGAATAGATATGAAGTGAAAGGAGAATAATTAGTATAGTGTGTACAGAAAATAATAGAAATGAAGTGAAAGGAGAAAAATTAGTATAGTGTGTACAGGCAAAAATAGATATGAAGTGAAAGGAGAATAATTAGTATAGTGTGTACAGGCAAGAATAGATATGAAATGAAAGGAGAATAATTAGTATAGTGTGTACAGACAATAATAGAAATGAGGTGAAAGGAGAATAATTAGTATAGTGTGTATAGACAATAATAGAAATGAAGTGAAAGGAGAATAATTAGTATAGTGTGTACAGGCAAAAATAGATATGAAGTGAAAGGAGAATAATTAGTATAGTGTGTACAGGCAAGAATAGATATGAAGTGAAAGGAGAATAATTAGTATAGTGTGTACAGACAATAATAGAAATGAAGTGAAAGGAGAATAATTAGTATAGTGTGTACAGACAAGAATAGATATGAAATGAAAGGAGAATAATTAGTATAGTGTGTACAGGCAAGAATAGATATGAAGTGAAAGGAGAATAAAGTAGTATAGTGTGTACAGGCAAGAATAGATATGAAGTGAAAGGAGAATAAAGTAGTATAGTGTGTACAGGCAAGAATAGATATGAAGTGAAAGGAGAATAAAGTAGTAGTGTGTACAGGCAAGAATAGATATGAAGTGAAAGGAGAATAAAGTAGTATAGTGTGTACAGGCAAGAATAGATATGAAGTGAAAGGAGAATAAAGTAGTATAGTGTAGTATAGTGTGTGAGTAAACAAGAAGCATTGTGAACTGTTTGACTGATGAATGAAAACTGTTTTTGCTTGCAGGTTTGCAGATGTGACCTCGGAAGTAATTACATCCACAAAGAAAATGGAGGAGAGCCTTCGGAGGTTGAAGAAAGCCAGGGGAGGTGAAAAAGAGAAGGAGAAGACTGGAGGAGTTAGTGATTCTGATAAAATTCGAACGCAGATAATTATCGACATCAAATCATTCCTTCAGCAGGTATGCACTACGGTCTTGTGAATTATTATGAACTGTGCGACTTCTTCATGTTCTCTTTTACTGTTTGGGTGTGGAGGGAGATTTACGATTGTGCTTCTTGCTCTTCTGGCCACCATAATAATATAATGTTAACCATAGACACATCACGCTGTTGTAGAGTTTCTCTGATATTTTCTCCATCTTGTTCTTGGTCTACCTCGTGATCTTTGTCCATCTCCTCTTTTGGTGTATGCATTATATATTATGGTGACCTAAAGGTATCTCTCTGAGTGGGAAAATCATTTGATTAATTGTCTCTGTATGTAATTTAGAATTGTTTCTGTGCCGACTGTTTTTCTCTTATGACTTATTCCTGATGTTGTTTCTTCCAGTGACCCTTGTAGCCTTTCTCATTTCCCTGGTGACTTGTTTTCTGTTCTAGTTTGTTGTGAATGATCAAGTCTTGCACTGATAGCATAGGGTTGGAATGAATATGCTTTGTATCAGATGTTTATTTGTGCTGATTTGGATTGTCTTGTGTTGTAAAAGGGTGGCTAGCTGTCACAATACTTGATTTGTTTTACTGTATCGGATAATAATTTCTTCATATAATTTGCCGTCTGTGTGTACCCTTACTATTTTTTCCTCACTAATTCTCCTCCCACTCTCTCTCTCTCTCTTTCTCTCAATAAGTAGTACTCTTTTCATAGAACATACATGCACACATACACCTCTCATGCCTTGATGGAGCCAACTAAGGAAGGACAGAATAGAAGCAGTAACAGAAAGAGTACTAGAAAACACAATTCTCGGAAAAAGAGAAGGATGAACCAAACGCAACATTTAAAGAAAACAAGACGCATACAAATTAGTCACTGCACACATACATTAAATTAAGAAGAGCAACACAAAACGGACAACGATGGGATGGCATCAGACAGCTTCATGACCAACTCAGTCTTAAATGAAGCATGCTGATATGTTTATCTTATATATTAAGAATGCTAAATATTTTGTAAATTATTTAACTAATCTTTAAATTGATAAGCAACTGGTTAAGTGCTTCAGCACACTAGGCTGTCATTTGGGAGACCCATCTTGGAAGGGTAAGGCGATGGATTTTACCTTTTCTTCTTCTTTTCTCTACTCCTGGAATGCCTCGTGGCGTCAGGGCAGGAAGATATCTCTGGACCGAGATCTTCTGCATGGTCGACCTCTGGCTCTATTGCCATTGTATCTGAATAACATTAGAGTCTGTGGTTCCCTGTCTGATGACAAACTTGTTACATGGCCAGACATTTGATTTGTTGTCTACCTATAAAGTTGAGTATTGGTTCTGTGCTGACTGCTTCTAATATCATTGTTCCTAAGTCGATCTTTTCCTGTTACACCTAGCGTAGTACGTAAACATTTCATTCCTTTCGGGACTGTTTTCCTTCTGTCTTCTGAAGACAGTGTCCATGTTTGACACTGATTGCATAGCGTCTGCAAAAATAGTGTGTTGAACGGTGTTCTTTCAGTGTTCATATTCACATGCTTGCATTTCACAATTGGTGCCATTTGGCCCAAATCTTGATTGGCTTTATTGCATCTTTGCTGGATTTCTTTATGAATTCTTCCGTCTTTTGAAAAAAATGCTCCCCAGATATGTAACATTCTCTGCCTGCTTTAATTGATGTTCATCAATTTTCATAATGGTGGTTCTTCCTTTTCCAGAGAATGTCATCACTTCTGTTTTGTCTACATTGATCTTCAAACCCTAGTTGACGCATTTTACTGTTGAGGACAAAAATAAAATTCCAACTTCACAGGCCTTGACGACTACGCCAGCCATGTGGCCATAAATACACTGCCCTAAGAAGTGGTAAATACAGGCAGTAAAGAGCTTTTCATTAATAATTGCAGACTAAATGTCGTTTGGTTGAGTGGCATGGGGAGTCATTAATGTATCGCTCATATTTGTTTCAGATGGAGGCCATGGGAGTACAGCCCAGCTGTGTGGATGGATACGGCAAGGTCACATCCCTGGCCCAGGAAGCGGAATCTGACATGGCTCCATCCTGACAGAACTAGCAGTGCCAATCTGTGTTAATTTAGATAGGGTTTAATAACAGGGAAGATTGAATAGTTTTACAGATGCTATGCTAATAATGGTAGTGAGAATAGCTGTGGCTAGAGTGTGTATGTTGGTTACCTTTGAGCTACACAAACATTCCCTAGCTAACATATAGTTAAACTGTTACTGTGTCCAGTTGTTCCCTAGCTAACATATAGTTAAACTGTTACTGTGTCCAGTTGTTCCCTAGCTAACATATAGTTGAACTGTGTCCAGCTGTTCCCTAGCTAACATATAGTTGAACTGTTACTGTGTCCAGCTGTTCCCTAGCTAACATATAGTTGAACTGTTACTGTGACCAGCTGTTCCCTAGCTAACATATAGTTGAACTGTTACTGTGTCCAGCTGTTCCCTAGCTAACATATAGTTGAACTGTGTCCAGCTGTTCTCTAGCTAATATATAGTTGAACTGTGTCCAGCTGTTCCATAGCTAACATATAGTTGAACGGTGTCCAGCTGTTCCCTAGTTAACATATAGTTGAACTGTTACTGTGTCCAGCTGTTGTTAACAGTAATAAATTCATGGCTGAAGAGATAATGACTGCCTGAATTAGACAGCTTCAATAAGTTTCTTAAAAATTAGTGGACAACTGACTAGGACAGTGAGAGTTAAAAGTAACACTAAGATTGAATGGGTTTATGTAACGAGAAGAAAGAAGGTTATAATTACCCGTTTATTTAATTTAGTTGACAGCTTCTGATCTGTACTCTGCTGTATAGGGGTTATATATCAATTCTTTCTTACTCTTGGTATTTTATATTTGGTGTGATATCTGTTGCGAGTATAGTTGTTGGCTTTCTCTTGTGATTTTTTTTAAGCTGATCCAGTCAAGGCTTATTTTTTGAAGCTTATCTAAAGGAATTCTATCCCGAAGCCATGATCTTTGTTTAACTCACACTTCAGCTGGAACATAATTTCAAGATTATATCATTGTTGGCCTGCAGAAAATGATCCTGTCTCCTTAATTTCTCAAACTTTCTTAAGTACAGCTATCCTTTTTTCCCTGTGGTTTTCCTCAGCATTCTTGTTTTGTGGGATCTATTTTTGCTTTAATACAGAATACGCAGACAAATATCTTCCCTGTGGGCACTGAGCTGCAGTCTTTTGACAATGAAATGCTTAAATCTTACAGCTTTATCAGTATCAATGTGTAAAATGTTGCCAGCTGAAGCCCATTTCCCACTCAGTTCATTTCTGCTGTGCTGAAAGTAATATGCCTCTGCAAATGTGAAGTTTCAGTATCCATCTTGCACATCTCACTAGTTTGTGAACTTTGAGAGAAGGAAAGCTCTGCAGTAGTCAACCTCCCAGAGGATCCTCAACCTCCCAGAGGATCCTCAACCTCCCAGAGGATTCTCAGCCTCCCAGAGGATCCTCAACCTCCCAGAGGATAAAAAACCTCCCAGAGGATCCTCAACCTCCCAGAGGATTCTCAACCTCCCAGAGGATTCAACCTCTCACCTCCCAGTTGGTGATTCTCCAACTCCCAGAGGATCTTCAACTCCCTCTACCTGTGGTGTGAGAACATGGTTCCTCAGCCTCCCAGAGGATCTCCAACCTACCAGAGGATTCTCAACCTCCCAGTGGATCCTCACCCTGCCAGAGGATTTTCAGACTCCCAGAGGATTCTCAAGCAACTGTGGTGTGCATTGTAGATAACTTTAAAAGCAGCAAATATCTTATATGATGATGGAACCATAATCTTTTGGTGGATGTGTACAACTTTTTATTTTAAATGTATGTTTCTAACAGTTGAAATCTGCAATACCAGCAGTTTATTATTTTCATCATGGGCAGTAAACAGATAAGACAATCCCAATCAGCACAAAGAAACATTATCATGGCCAGTAAACATGTAAGACAATCCTAATCAGCACAGAGAAACATTATTATCCTGGCCAGTAAACACATAAGACAATCCCAGTCAGCACAAAGAAACATCATCATGGCCAGTAAACACACAAGACAATCCTAATCGTCACAGAGAAACATCATCATGGCCAGTTAACACATAAGACAATCCCAATCAGCACAAAGAAACATTATCATGGCCAATAAACACATGACAATCCCAATCAGCACAGAGAAACATAATCCTGGCCAGTAAACACATAAGACAATCCCAATCAGCACAAATAAACATTATCATGGCCAGTAAACACATAAGACAATCCCAATCCGCACAAATAAACATCATCATGGCCAGTAAACATGTAAGACAATCCCAATCAGCACAAATAAACATTATCATGGCCAGTAAACACATAAGACAATCCCAATCCGCACAAATAAACATCATCATGGCCAGTAAACATGTAAGACAATCCCAATCAGCACAAAGAAACATTATCATGGCCAGTAAACACATAAGACAATTCCAATCAACACAAAGAAACATCCCATACGAAGCAAATTCATTTCCATTCTATGCTACAAGTGCCAAACATAGTCCATGGAAATAAGATGTCTGAGATGGGCAGCAGGAATAACTAGAAGAGATACAATCAGGAATGAGGTCATAAGAGAACTAGCAGACACACAACAAATTCAAAATCACACACAAAGACAAAAAGTCAGATGATTTGCTCACTTAGAGAGAATGCCTTGCGACACAATACCATACAAGGTATACCAAAAGTAAGGAAGGGCATAGACAATGAGGTAGACCAAGAAGAACATGGAAAGATAACATCAGAGAAACTCTACAACAGCATGATGTGTCTATGGTCGAGACGGTTGAATTAGGGATTGACATCACAGCATGCGGAACACTCCTCTCCTCACCCAAATGTATCAAGCCTGCACACATGTCCAATTGTGTCTTCAGCTTGCGCCATCCAAGACCTTCCTCTTTTCAGTCTGTGACCAGACCTGCCCACTCTACCTGCAAATTTGAAAAGACATCTGGCCAATAGAGCAAAGTGTGCAGAGCAAGTTATGGGGAACCATGCAGGACCTGCAGCTGACATGCGAGTTCATAGAGGCAACCCACCTAATTTGTCTGATCTGAGCATACGAAACCGAACGCAAAGAAGAAGAGAAGTCTGTGACCCTTAGCTCTACCCAAGGCTTCATATAGGAAGTGCTTCTTGTCTGCAGCTACTCTGAGATATGACTTTGCTGGCAGAACTTTGAGCCTATCTGCAATAGCAGGCAGTGCAAGTTTATATCACATACATACTACCAGGGTATTTCTTATACATCCTAGAATTACCCACATAGCTTCATTCTGTATGCGTTCAAGTTTCATCAGCTGACTTTGATATGGTAAGTATTCCAAGACCATAATCTTTCACCGACAGGATCCCATGCTGAAACAATGTGAACAGCATTTTCTGTTGCATGTCCATTGCTGCCATACTCTTGGGAACACTGAACCTATTTTTGGCATTTCAACACAACTGCCTCTACATGATCCCTATTCTGAATTGATGACAGCATGGCTTCTGCACACTAGTCAGTGACTTTATCTACAGTTGTCTGTAGCTCTTGGGCTATCCGATGCCTATAAATTCCCATGCCTATATGCAAGAACATCATCTGCAAATGTCCATATCCTTCCAACACCTGGTGCTTCAAGTTCTGCAGTCTTGCTTGTATACACATTAAATAGCACTGTTAAAATTGCAGAACCCTGGGGTAGTCCCGGGGCGATTGTTCGAGAGGGTTAGAAATTGTTTTTCCTAACCAGATTGTTTTTTTCTGCTTGAGATGGTTAGAAAGGCAAAAGAACCATCCATCTCCCTCGAAACCCATGGCAAAAGAGGAAGTGAAGAAGTTGTAACCACAGATTTTATTTTTTCTGAACATAAGAAGTGAAACAAAGAATTTTAAATCTAATATCACAGACAATGACAACATATCCCAACACAAAAATTCACGTTGTAAGCCCAGGGACACCAAACATATTCTTCTGCATCTGCTCTGCTGTCAGCGTTCCCTGAATTCTCTCGCAGTCTTTGTTGAACACAGAGTAGGCACTTGGTCTGTTGTCCTTGGGACCCGTCCTAGTGTTGAAGTAAAGAAACAGCAGCAGAGATGCAGCAAAGAAAACAGCACCAAACTGTAGCTCCACAAACAGCCCCCATAAAGCCAGCCACAGCAGAAGTTTCAGCATTCTCAGGACCAGTTTTGTAGCAGTCGATGTTCCGCTGGTGTCCAATGCTGGTACGGTTTCTGGTCGTGCAGTGTTTTCTGAACTATGTTGCTCTGCAGTTTTCGCGTTGTGGTTATGTTTTCTTTTGACTGTGGATTGTTCATGGAAGTCCTGGCTGTGGCTGATATGGTCAGTTTTAGCGTCATGATCTTGACTGTCTGACTTCTGTAAACAAACAAACAAACAAATAAACAACCTGCAACATTGACAAATGACTGTTTCATAATGAAAATGAGGTTTTACAAAGATGGAGGTTTGGTCCCACACTTCAACCCCCAACCTGGAGAACCAGGGCATACAGAAAGAATGCCAGATCAGAGAAACAAAAACTGCACACACAAAAGAGCTGAATGGGAGTAGATCATGAGGTAGACCAAGAAGACAGTGGAGAGATAATATACATTCAGACCTACTGTCACAACATAGGTTGAAATCACCAGCTCATTTTGTTTTTAGAACTAAAAATCATGACACTGAAATTGATAGACAGTAACACCAGCACTAAATATAGAAACAATAAGGTCTACTTTATCTTGGGACAATTTCTCCAATTCTCTTTGTTAATGTAAAAATGATAATACACATCTGTCCATACAGTCCCACATTAGAAATGCAGTTCATCATGGATGGTAGCAGAAGTCACCAACACATCAGCAGTTGCACACCCGGTCAATTTTAATCACATAAGGGCACCACCAATATTGCGACAACAGGCATCGCACCATTTACCGAATCTACCATTCATACCACCACTGAACTATCCTTTCAGTCTACAAATGGAGCAAAAATGCACCAGCCACCGTCTGGCAGAAGCAACAAATTTGCCACGGCTCACAACAGTGACCGTGCCTAGCGTCCATTTGACCAGAAGATGAGTGATATCTGCAGCATTAAACATCAAAATCCGGACGAAAATACTGACTTAGAAGATGCACTCCAAACATTGATCGGAAAAGACATAACAAAAAACTACAAAGAATTGACAAACTGTTGAATGAGTTCTTGAAATTAATTTCTAGTTAATGTGTAACATGTTTACATTTCAAAACAAATACAGATTCAGATGTATTTTTCTCTGCAACAATCACCTCTTGCCTGATTTCCCTCTATGCTTCACAGAATACACCACACCACTGCCTCATCTTTAAAAACTTTTATCTCATAACCTCTCCGTCCCCATTTTCAGCAGCCAATCCCGATGGATCATTTGATGTTTATATGTATTGTATAGTTTACAGTCTGATTGTTTTGTTAGTCATTGTTACTGTTACTTCCCGCACAAGAGGCCTTGATTGACAATCACAATGACCATACCTAAGCTTCAATCTTGATCAACTTCTTTTTCATGATAGCAAATTGGGCAAAGAAAACAAAAAATATTATAATTACCCCTGATTTATCTGTCAGAACTAGTTTGAGTTTATTGATAAGTGACTGCTCCGCTGTTTTTCTTCTTCTTTCCGTTTACGATAAGCTGCTAGCTTGGCTTCCATGTTTGTCATGTTGTCAACAAAGAAGCTTATGTAATTTCCTTCAACGAAGAGTTACAGCCGCAAACAAAACGCCAGACACAGCTTCGTAGCGGCTACAGGCTTGCCTGACGGCCCGGAGATCAGTGGTCTGAATCCTAACTGAGCGGATATGGACAAAATACCCTTGGCACCCAGGCCGATCCAGCCTTAAATATATATATATATATTCGTATATATAGGCTTATATATAGATATATCTATATATAATATATATATATATGGACATATATATATGGCACCCCGATCCAGCCTTAAATATATATATATATATACTAGCTGTACCCGGCCACGCGTTGCTGTGGCGTAATTTGACTACAGGGAAAATAGAGAACATAGAAATGTGTCTTCGCTTCACGCTAGCGATGTACAGAGCAACAGCTAAACCACAGCTAATAAAACTGGTTACAAAAGTGGTTATTTGGTTATCACATGCTAAAGCTGTTTGTATTTTTATAGGAGACGGAAGTAAAGCTACAACTGTACTTGTAAATAACAAAGTAAGTCGTAAAAAATAGAAAAGCGGAGGTAGCGTTAGTAAAATATAAACAAATTAGGTAATGAGAACTTGAAAATCACGTGTAAAGCTATTTAAGTTCTCTTAAATTTAAGTCATTACCCCCCCCCCCCCTCCCCTCTTCGACCGACTACTGCTCTCTCCCTCTTCGAAGGATTTGAAAATCACTAACTGGCGATATTTTGTTGTTGCTGTAACTGACATTGACATCCCTGTCCATCTGGACTAAAATAAGGAGCAGGAATTGTAATAGGTAGTGAATAGGGCTAGTGAAATATTTACCACATCATCCTTCAAGTACCAGTACAACTACTAAAATAATGTCACTGCTATCTGTGTTACCATCGGAGTAGACAGAGAGTCAGTCGTGAGCCAGAAGATTTGGTTCCGCATGGCTAGTGCTGTCGCCACAGACTGGTCAGGTTAGGATGTATAATTTCACTTGCCGACAGAAGAACGCCATAACCTTATCGGCGGTCTTTACATGAGAGCACTATGGTGTAACAGCCCAACCACAACTATTACTGCTGCTGCTACTTTAAGTGGGTAAAGCAGTTACTGTGACTTAAAGCTCTCTCAGTTAATAGTTTGCCCCCCCCCCCCCCCCAATCCCCCAAATTCACCGACAACTCTTTCCCACATTGAAGTAGTTGGGAGGAAAAAAAAAAACACTTGAAAAGCAAATGAACACAGGAAAAAAACACCATAATTAGGAAATGAACGCCATTGTAAACAGCACAGCTTAAAATTCCAACACAGATGAAATAACTAAATCTAAATGAAAATAAGTGAAAATCTATAAAATTTCAGCGTAACCATGCAATCGGAAAGTTTAACAATGCAATCATAAGTATGCGAAATGGTCAAATTTAATTATCAAATGGTTTACCCATTTACTGTTTTTTTTTTTTTTTTTTTTTTTAATATTCAGGCAACATGGCTAGTGCTGTCACCACGACAGAGCAGATGAGGATATTATTTTAGTCCGGGGTAAAAAAAAAAAAAAAAAATTAACTACTGCGGATTCGAACCCAGGTCTACCGCACTTGAACCCAGTGTTCTAACCATTCGATCAAGCAGACATATATGTGTCCCTACCACTGTGTCGCGATTAAAACACAATTCAAAACCGCAGGCAATTGTTTTCTCGTAGACAGATACTCCAGATATATTAATGAAATAGAAATCGCACGTGTCTAACACGGTTAATGAAGTTAAAGTCGCAGTCACTGTCTCCCCCGACGTCGAGATAGTCCTCGATTGCCCCCCCCCCCCCCCCCCCCCCCCCTCGAAGGTTGTTTGAAAAAAAAAACAGAAAATATAAATCGTGTTTAATATGGTTATTGTGGCAAATATAGAGATAGTCTTGTTTGCTGTACCACGACCTACTCTATGTATTAGTATTAGAGAAGGCGTTGGCTGCACGTAACTCGCCGGCGAATGGTAAATACGGCGCATGCGCAATTACTAACATGGCTATAATTAGAAATCACTAAAGTTATAAATATTAGTTGCGTATATTTTGGCATTAATTGTGGTCACCTATCTCTAACAGTGACAGGTTGAATTTCAAACCACGACGGTTCAAAATCCGGTATCACAACAAACATATCCTGAAAATTTCAGCTAAATCGGTTCAGTAGTTTCCGAGTCTATAGGGGTGAAACAAACACACAAACATTGATTTTTATATATATAGATACACACACACACACACACACACACATACATATATACACACATATATATATACACATACACACAACATTAATTGTCATGGGAAGTAAAAGCGGCCGGTGTGATGTGATCACATCACCCATAATCCCACTTCCAAAACTAGACAGTTAGCTTGCTTAGTTCTAGTCCAGGTTTCAGCTTCACTGCAATCAGGTCGCACCATACTTGTACCGTTCCTGTGCCGGTGAAAATCACGTGAACTGTCCTTCTCTGTTTGTCTATTAGTTAGTCACAGATTATCCAAACTGCATATCCCCTCTTTAGTAAATCCTGCATCGTGTAGCGGCTCACGACACCAGGCATGGTTAGTTTCTTATTCTTCTATGGCTTCCCGCATACTGCTCTTAGCGGGCCACAAACCTTTTAACATGTTGTTCTTGCAGTCTGGTCGTGTTTGCAGATTCACAATCATCACTTGGTTCTCGCAAGCGTCTTACTTCTTGTAAAGCATTCAGTATTTCAGCCTGGTCGATAGCTCGCCCGCCTTTCACAGCAGCTTTACCTGCATTCCTATCTATCTATCAGCTTGACACTTCCTTACACGCCTGTATGCCCTGGCACCAATATGAAACTGACATGTTTTAGCCTCGACCGCCTCACAGACTCAGAGACTATGTCAAGATCATTCTAGATTCAGCGGTTTATCACTCTGAAAATTATTGCTGTTAAACTGCCAACTTTTTTTGTAATGAAAGAGCTCTCTCTAAGAGCTTTGGGCAGCTGCCGAACAGAGAAGGATACTTGATCATGTGCAGCAATTTTTGCCTTTGATGTTTATGTGGGTTTACCGAATAGACAAGAGACTGTAGCGGCCGCACTTGATCTTTAGGATACCTTCAATAGAGTCACATATGATATTTTCATATCTGCGATTGTGGAGAAGATGACCTGTCTCTGGCGAGTGAATTCGATAGCAACTGTCCTGCATTTACGTATGGTTACCCTCCGCCTGGGTACATGGACCTCAGAAACATGCAAAGATCGTCACGGATTAGGGGGAATGGTGTCGTGAGGTAAGTCCGACACTCAACACTCCGGAGAGACGGATATACAATCAGACTGTTACTTATACTATCTGAATTGGAACTGCGTTTACAGCTGACGATGGTGATAGAGCGCCTTATGAGAATGTCCTAAGTGCCGTTATGTCGATTCTTAATTCAACAATCAATCACACATTGAGGGCTGAAGTATTGACACAAATATGAATATCATTATATATACTCCTTTACTTACATTACGAGTACAGTACAAAAGCGTTAGTGTTCACGTTTTTCCACAACCTTCTGTTTCGTGTACTTTTAGTCATGTCTGACACAGACGAATGATCTTGAAGCTTTTCGCGTTTGCAGTGTGTACAGAATCAAGTTTACTGTAGCGTGTACAGAATCAAATTTACTGCAGCGTGTACAGAATCAAGTTTACTGCAGTGTGCTCAGAATCAAGTTTACTGCAGTGTGTATAGAATCAAGTTTACTGCAGTGTGCTCAGAATCAAGTTTACTGCAGTGTGTACAGAATCAAGTTTACTGCAGTGTGTACAGAATCAAGTTTACTGCAGTGTGTACAGAATCAAGTTTACTGCAGTGTGCTCAGAATCAAGTTTACTGCTGCAGTGTGTACAGAATCAAGTTTACTGCAGTGTGCTCAGAATCAAGTTTACTGCAGTGTGTACAGAATCAAGTTTACTGCAGAGTGTACAGAATCAAGTTTACTGCAGTGTGTACAGAATCAAGTTTACTGCAGTGTGTACAGAGTCAAGTTTACTGCAGTGTGGACAGAATCAAGTTTACTGCAGTGTGTACAGAATCAAGTTTCATTTGCCAAAAACTCGCAGCAGGTCAAGGTTACTGATATAAAAAAAAAAACAATGGGGTCGGGGAGAATTCCCCTGTATTTGCTGATTGAGCTTTGCTTTGTCCAGGCTGCCTCCACAGTTTGACCATTCACTGAAACGGGAACTGTCAGCGGTCTTCTTGTGTGTTCGTAAAGGATTCTTTGACTCGTGACTTTGCAGGGAAAAAAACAAGGTTTCAATCCTGGCTTAGGACCTAGCCATCCACGCTGGGGCCTCACCAGTTTCCAAATTGTCTCTTGTGGACTACATGTTTTTTGCCACTTTTACTGAACAGGCACTCTTTAAAGAGATCAAAGCAACTAAACAATTATTTTGCAGGTTTAAAAAAAAAAAAAAGTAGGATTTCGTTTCAAAATAAATTTCGGAAAATTTCCCGATATTAAATAATAAAAGGCATTCTCTGTGTGTTTTCAGACATGAAACAATCTGGCGTATTTGTATTTTAACAGGAAACCTCAAAACTTCACATGGCTTAGCTTGGCAAGCTTCACTGATCACTTTATGATCCAGTGTAAAATATTCAACCCATAGTTAGTGGAAACACGAGCCTCACGGGTTGCCGTACTTCTTGTGACACTGCAACCATGACACCGTCGGACCAGCAAGCATAACAGGCGGTTGGTATCTAACGTTGGTGTGCTGGCTGACCTTGCTTGCCGTGTTAGCGGCCTTGCCTACTATTTCTATGAGCATCTGGTAAGGACAATTATCTTTTATTATAATTTATGTTATGGTGATAGATTTTGTATGTTCTAAACAGTATCGGCGTATGTTAATAATAACTGTAGTCAAGTAATTATCGTTTGCGAAGTTGTTTACCAAACACGGACGCGAAGTTAAGGAATGTTGCCAG